CCCACCAAGAACCAGACCGTCCCTGTCAAGGGCCACCCCCTCACGTCTGTCCAGGGCCACCCTCACACACCGTCCCTTAGGGCCCACCTCCACCTTGCCTGTCCAGGGCCACCCCCTCCCACACCCCCGTCCCTGTCCAGGGCCACCCCCTCCCACACCCTGTGCCTGTCCAGGGCCACCCCCTCCCACACCCCCGTCCCTGTCCAGGGCCACCCCCTCCCACACCCCCGTCCCTGTCCAGGGCCACCCCCTCCCACACCCCCGTCCCTGTCCGGGGCCACCCCCTCCCACACCCGGGGTCTCTGTCCGGGGCCACCCCTCTCTGCACCCCGCCCTGCTCACAAGGCACGGGGCTCACCCAGGAGGTGCACTGTGCCCGTGCAGCCTCTGCTGGGCAGCGGCCCTGGCCCCCAAGGCCTCACCCTCATCCTGGAGCATTTCCCACCAAGCCCCGGGGCTCCTGGCTGTGGTCAGACCACAGGCACATTCTCACGTGTGCACACAAACAACTACTGACACGCACGTGCTTGCACACACCCACTCAGGTGCACGCATGCTGCACGCGCACACAGGCACACAGCTGCACACACAGCTTCAGGCTCCTTGCACGGGGTCTGCAGGAGTCTGGGGCCCGTGGGGTGGGGGATGGGGCAGGGACTTCCAGAGCACGTCTGGCGCAGGCAGCGCCCTGGGGGCGCGTCCCCCAGCCCCTTCCCAGAGCCCCCTCCCCGGCCTCCTCCTGGGTGCCGACCCACCGTTTCTCCCTCCACCCGTCCCCTCTGCCTCCCGCCAGGATGGCGGCCCCAGCCGGGCGCCTGTTGAACGGCGGAGTGGCCCCGCCCACAGCATGGTCCCGCCCATAACCTGGCCCCGCCCACCGCCTGGAGCCGCACCGGGGGACGAATAAACACTCCGCGCGGAGCCCACAGTGTGACCAGCCTGACCGTGGGGTGGGCGAGTCGCGAGAACAAGGCCTCGGCGGCTCCTCCCGGGGTGCCCAGCCGCCCCGGCCCTCCGGCGGCGTCGTGCGGTGCATGCGTGTCTGGGCGACGGCGTGCGAGTGCGCATGTGTGTCCCTGCGCGCCTTCGCGGCCCCTCGCCTGTGCGCTTCGCGGCCCCCGCGCACGGCCGGCCAGAGCGCGCGCTGCGGGACGGGCTGCGGCGGACCCCGGGCGGCCCGGCCTGCCCAGCCGCGAGCGGTTCGCGCAGGGCGCTCAGGCGAGCTTGGCGGAGCAGCCCGGGCCTCAGAATAGGCGGCGGCCCGGTGCAGGGGCCCCTGGCCTGGGACGCGGCGCGGGAGAAGCAGCGCCAGGCCTGGCCCCGCTGGGTGTCAGGAGACTGCTCCGAGACCGCCCCAGGCCCCCATCCCAGCCCCAGCACCCCCGCGCCGTGGCTGCCTGGCCCGCGGAGCAGCGGGTCCTCGGCCCCCCGCAGTCTGTGCCCCCTCCGCCCACACACGCTCCGGGCAGTGGAGCAGGTTGTGGCCCAGGGCAGCCACGGAGCTGGCCCGGCCGTCTCTGGCCTCACTAGAGCAAAGAGGGCCCAGAGAGACCCCCACGGGTGCCTCCCCACGTCCCCGGGTGACGGAGCGTGGTCCCAGGCCTGCTTCCTCCTGCGCAGGACCAAGCAGGTTCCGGAGTGCACAGCTGGGCCGGGACAGCAGACAGGAAGCCCCCCCCTGAAGACCCCGAAAAGATTGGCACCCATGGTGGGTGCAGACGATACCACATGTGCTCTGAGCAAGAACAGCTCAACAGTCGGGAGAGTCCGGCTCCCCCGCACGCTGTGGGGGGGCAGGCGCAGGTTCGCGTCTCCGTCACAGTCCTGGGCTCCACCGCTGGCACCTGCCACAGAGAAGGCTAAACACCTGTGATCGGAATGGTGGGTGGGTGGACAGGTGGATGGATGGATAGATGGATGGACAGATGGGTGGATGGATGGGCGGATGGGTGGATGAACAGATGGACAGGGGGTGAGTGGGTGGACGGATGGACAGGTGGACAGATGGGTGGATGGACGGATGGACAGGGGATGGGTAGGTGGACAGGTGGATGGATGCATGGGTGGACAGAGAGGTGGATGGACAGATGGACAGGGGGTGGGTGGACAGGTGGATGGATGGACGGATGGGTGGACGGACAGGGTGGATGAATGGACAGATCGACGGATGGGTGGACGGACAGGGTGGATGGATAGATGGATGGACAGATGGATGGAGAGGTGGACGGACGAATGGACAGGGGGTGGGTGGGTGGATGAATGGACAGATGGGTGGATGGAGAGGTGGATGGACAGATGGACAGGGGGTGGATGGGCAGATGGACAGGGGGTGGGTGGACAAGTGGATGGATGGACAGACAGAGGGTGGATGAATTGACAAATGGACAGATGGGTGGACAGAGAGGTGGATGGACGGATGGACAGGGGGTGGGTGGACAGGTGGATGGATGGACGGATGGACAGGGGGTGGGTGGGTGGACAGGTGGATGGATAGACGGATGGGTGGACGGACAGAGAGGTGGATGGATGGATGGACAGGGGGTGGGTGGACAGAGAGGTGGATGCACAGATGGACAGGGGGTGGGTGGGTGGACAGGTGGATGGATGGACGGATGGGTGGACAGACAGAAGGTCAGATAGGTGGATGAATGGACAGATGGGTGGATGGAGAGGTGGATGGAAAAATGGACAGGGGGTGGGTGGACAGGTGGATGGATGGACGGATGGGTGGACGGACAGAGGGTGGATGGGTGGATGAATGGACAGATGGATGGATGGATGGATGGACAGATGGACGGGGTGGATGGGTGGATGAATGGACAGATGGGCGGATGGGTGGATGGAGAGGTGGACGGACGGATGGACAGGGGCGGGTGGGTGTTGCCCTGTTTCTCTGTGTCCCGGGCGACGCAGGCTCAGGCCAAAGGCAGGGAGGCTGCACGTGGCCCGACTGAGGGACGTTCTGTGCAGTGTGGAGATGAGGAGGTGACTCTGGGGTCTCACTGCGGGCCACACTCTGGGCCGTGGCCTGGCGTCTGCTGGGACTGGCAGTGGCAATGGCTGTATCTCGGCAGAAGGGGCTTCTCCGCTCTGGCCTCACCTTGCCCCTTCGCCCTCCCCCTGCTGGCCCGGGGCGTCCCCACAGGCGGAGCTCACCCCGCAGAGCCAGCTGCTAAGTCCTGGCCAGCCGGGGCCGAGCCGAGCCTGCCCCCAGTGCCTGGCAGAGGCAGGGCTGGCACCGGGAAGGGAGTAGTGGCCTGGGGAGGCTCAGCTGGACCGGGGGCCCCATCCTGCTCCTGGCAATGTGACCAGGACTTCCCAGGCCACCTTCCCCCTCTGAACCCTGTGTGGCCTTGCTGGGGCATCTCCATCAGTCCCTCTGCACTGAAGACAGGGAAACTGAGGTTTGGGAAGGCTGGCTGGCCATCTCCCCTCCCCACAGCGCTGGCCTGTGGTTCATCCTCACCCTTGGACAGGGAACCCCAGCACCAGCTGTGAGATCACGACCTGCATGTGCACCCACCCGGCTGGCTCCTTAGGTACAAGCATAAGCCCCGCATGGTATTGGGGCCACAGGGCTGGGCTGTCCCCCCCGAGGGGCTCTCTGTGAATCCCAGTAGAGGACCCCCTGCACCAGCCAATGCTCTGGGGCCAGCACCTGCCTCCTGGCTGGGGAGACACGAGATGCTGACTCTTGGCTCCCGGGGGAGGGTGGAATTCAGGCCAGGCTGGATCCAGGGCCCTGGCGGCCCTCTGGTTGTCCAGCCTGGGCAGGAGCAGCCGTGCACTCCCATGGGCCCACTTGGCCCCCAAAGGGGCTGCAGGCGTGTCTTCCTCAGCAGTTCTCAGTCCAGGGCAGAGGCCGTGTGCCCCGAGCAGGGAGCGGGTGGCCCCTCCAGGCAGCGCTCTCTGTCTCGACTGCAGTTCGCTCGGCCTCCCCTCAACCCCTCTTTCCCGGGGTGAAACGCTCTCTCAGCCACGAGCCCTGGGGCCTGCCCCGGTGGCAGCCCCGGTTTTAATCTCCTCTCTCCTCAGCCTGGTCCGAGGGGCTGTGACATCTTGCCTGAGCAGCCCTGCCCTGGGGGAGGGCCGAGACCAGGCAGGGCCAGAGAGGGCAGCCCCTGCCTGCCGTCTGCGTGCTGGCGTCCAGCCGGCCTGGCCCCTGCCCCTGCCTGAGCGCCGGCCGGCCCTCCCCCCTCCCACGGAGCAGGGCAGCGGATGGGGCGTAGGGGGGCTCCGGTGGGCGGGGGGCTGGCCCAGGAGGCCTCTCGCCTCTCTGCCACAGCCCCGCCCCCGGCTCGAGGGCCCCGGACAGCTGGCCGTGGTCTGTGACGTGTCCCCACTCAGCATGACCCAGCACTCACCAAAGCCACTTGGAGCCCATGGCTGTGAGGGTGACAACGGACAGGCCCCCGAGGGCTTATGCTGGGCACAATGGGGTCGCCCCACTGGCCTCCAGCCAGAGAGGCCATTTCCCAAACCCGTGTCCCCCAGCACCCCTGGACTGACCACGGTGCTGCAGGCACTGCGGCTGTGCCCACTTGTGCTCTGGGCGGCGCCATGTGGACCGGAGGGGGGGGGGACACTGGGCTGGGCCGGGCGGGGGCAGGCAGCACTGCCAGCCAGGGGAGCAGAGACACTCCCCCCCAGAGGATGGACAGAGGGGCTCACTTAAGCACAGTCCCTGGGGAAGGGGCTGCCTGCCCGGCAGGGCGGGTGTCTGGATTCAGGCCAGGGGACCGTGTGTGGTCAGCACAGCCGGCACCAGCCTCGTGTTGCCACAGCTGCCCTGCCTGCAGCGTTTCTCTGGACACCAGCCTGAGCACGGCCTGTCCCTTGAAGAGCGTGAGGCCACACGCCCCGGGGCCACCAAGGAGGCCCGTGCATCTGGCCGGCCGTGCTGGCCCTGGGACCCCCCGCAGCCCGTGTGGCAGTGGCACCAACACAGCACCCTTGTGGGTGGGGTCCCCTTGCCCTCACGGCATCCCAGAGCTGACGCTGAGCCCCCCGAACCCCCAGTCCCAGAGGCCAAGGGAGAGCGGGTCCGGGCAGTGCTGCCGGGCTGGACACGCTGTCCCGTGCTGTTCCCAGGACGGGACAGTGGACACAAGAAAGCCCCTGTGCCCTTTGCTAACCAGCAAACCCAGGCCACAGCCATGGGGGGGGGGGTCCAGCCGAGCCCGGACACAGGCTGCACGGGGTCCCGGTCCCTACGGCAGCCACGCCTGAGCATGCCGGGCACAGAGATGCCTGGAGACCACCTGCAAGTGGCACCTGCTTCGGTCCGGACTGTCTCCCTCAACCAAGCCGCCCCTGCAGCTGGGGAGGGTGGCCGTCACACGGCAGGCGGGGACAGACGTGGGGGAGGGCCACAGGTGGGGGGGGCACTAAGTCTGGGCATCTGAGAGCTGGTGCGGCAGATGCACTTTTCTTTTTTTTTTTTTTTTAGACAGAGTCTCACTTTGTTGCCCAGGCTAGAGTGAGTGCCGTGGCGTCAGCCTAGGTCACAGCAACCTCAAACTCCTGGGCTCAAGCCATCCTCCTGCCTCAGCCTCCCGAGTAGCTGGAACTACAGGCATGCGCCACCATGCCCGGCTAATTTTTTCTATGTATTTTTAGTTGGCCAATTAATTTCTCTCTATTTATAGTAGAGACGGGGTCTCGTTCTTGCTCAGGCTGGCCTCGAACTCCTGACCTTGAGTGATCCCCCCCAGCCTTGGCCTCCCAGAGTGCTAGGATTACAGAGGTGAGCCACCGCACCCGGCCTGATGACAATGTTCTTAAAGGGATCGTTGGTCATGGTCGCACATCTCCGTAAATGTACTAACGCTCAATGAACGCACGTTTTAAAATCATGACTTTTCTTGCTAATTCCCTCAAGTAAAGAAAAAAAAAATCATGACTTTTATAAATTTTATCTC